AAAAAAAAAAAAAAAAAAAAAAAAAAAAAAAGAAACAGTGGTGTTTTTGTTTGTACATTTCAGAGATTCTGAACCTTCTATGGCAAAGCTAGAGCTTCTGCTCAACAAACTACAGCGGCATCTTGTGCGGAAATAACGTGTTGCCTGGATTAAACTACGGGATAATCTGTGACGAAATATGGTGTAACAAACAACCTACATCAAATATTGCTAACATTTGACCCTGACCTCAAGAAAGAGTGTCAAGGCGACCTCAAAGTTGAAGACAAATCAATGACTGGGCAATACCTTCCACCTTTAAAGCCAAAACGGGCATGGATTAGGCATATCGGCATGCCGAGCTGGTCCGCTCCTAAATACTGTCTCTGTTAATCAAGTTGCATAATTATGTGTTTGGTGAAAATCATTGAGAAAAATCGTAGTCAATATACAACTACAGGTCGACGTTCTTAAAAAGTCCTAACTTAATTCATCACTTAATGGGAAGCGTGGTCCCTTCCGTCACTATCTAATGAAGGTTGTCGCACCTGTATGTATATGGAGTTATAAATATGTGTCGCTGGGAAGAAAGTCGATATTGAGAAAAAAAGAACACTCACAGTAGAACGATCTGAATTACTGAGATTAACCACGTCACCTTCGGATGTTAATCAAGCTTTTCGCAAGATTCGAGGAACGGAATCGTCTCTTTGCTCTGAGTTTTTTAACTATGACTTAGCGTACGCCAAAGACATTTTCATTGTCATTCCTGTTATTTTCTCATTTTCTTCACACTTTCATTTTATGTTTATATTTCACGTCCTTTATTTAAACTAATGTAGTTTTATTTGAATGTCACAGGCATTTAAGTCAGAATATGTAATGTCATATTTATACAGTTCATACTTCACTGTCTAGAATATGTATATATAGCTCACAAAACTGTCTGAGGCGATGGGCTTATTGAAGGTGTTTGCACTAAAACAGTAACTTCTACAGTAATAGATTTCTTCAAATTCTTTGTAGAACTTCAGCTATTTTAATAAAGCATATCTGCAAGCAAGTGGCGTTTTCTCACTTACTCACAAAAAGGTCTTTTGACGGCACATTAGGAAGTTTTTATCGTAATTGTAACACTTTTTACTTTATTCCTCTCCAAGTTTTCTTTATGCCTAAGGTATTTGTGGCTGTTTGTGAAATTACGGATCAAAATTTATTTCGTTATTTTCACAAGTTTATTTTTCATATTTCAGAGCAGTTCATAGCTCTACAACTGTTCTTATAAAATAACTTAAAACCAACAACATGTTCTAGAAAATGATAAAGCAGTATTTTTAACGTTGTATTAAATATTTCACTCGTTTTTTTAATTTAATTTTGTTTTATTTTATTTTATTTTTACGACTCTCATCTTTTTGGTCTCCTTCTACGCAAAAGTTCCTATCTCTGGCATTCCTATTTTAACCCCATTAATTTCAAGTTTGTATATAATTTACAGTTGTGCTATATAGGCCTAGTGTGTGGGCGTGGCAGGCGCGAAACAAAATTTTAATATTTCCTCCTGCAGTCTCTCCCTGCGAAATTGGACCATGCCAGGTAAGCCTTGGATGACGTCGTCAATATTGACCTAGTTTTCACTCTGCGGAGTCAGGTGCTCAGTAATATTGATCGGGTTTTGTCATTTCGAGAGTCGAGGTATTTTGTTCATGCAGACCCCTGCACTGTATTTTAGAGGTGTTCAAGAGGCAGAAATAATTTACTGCTGACTAAGAACTGAAGAAAGTGCCGGAGAATTAAATCATAAAACATGGCGCTGTGCAAGGTGTCAAGAAAGACGATTTTGACGACATTGTTGTTTACTGTGGTTACAGCGGCGCCGAGTCGCACAGGAAAAATAACCAAACACCAAGATTATAAAGGTATTAACATAGACGCTAGCTGGACAATGCTAGAACCTATGCAGATGAAGCAAAATCCGAAAACAAACATGGATATAAATGTCGACTTGACCTACAGTTATAAAAATTCCAAACAAAAACCTCATAATGCTGAAATTGAAGACCGACCTTCCACAAGTAGAGTGTTTGTACATGACACGCTTATGAAAAATGTGACTTTACAACATGAAAATGTTATCAAACCAACTAAGCAGAAGGGTTTTGCCGGAACCCCTTGTTCTATGTCATACCTGCAGAAATATCTCGTCTCTCAAGGTACGTTTCCACAGGGAGGAAACTGGAACGGCGATTTCTGGAACCCAAACACCTGCTCTCTCAAAGCCAGAACACTGACAAGTGCTGAAATAGGGCAGTGCTTGAAGAGAAAGAACATTAAGAAAATAGCCATCTTTGGTGACTCTCAATCCATGAGATACACACCGACTTTAGTTAAAATGATGAACGGGACAGCCTACAACTGCCGCACAACAAAGGAGGAAAATATCGGACTGAGAACCCCAGACCCCAAGTTTTTCTCTCCCGTCTTCAACCCAGACATCTTCAAGTTATCTGACAGAGATTGTGATGGATGTGTTGGAGCAGAAATCAATTGCACAAGTCAATCTCACCTACTGCAATCTGGAGAGTCTCACCCAACACAATTTGGACAAGATGATGTCCATGTAGAACACCTGATAATGGAATTTGTGAGGGATGCAGAGTTAACAGTACATCGCCATAACTGGCAGGGAAACTGTGATAAACGTCTTCACAACATTACTGGAATCTGGTGCCAGTTTGCAGCCAGCACTCAGGAATTTTATTTCCGTGATTATTGGTCCATTACTGGCTTGCCAGATCTCATCTTTTACTCTGCAACTCATGTCCATGAAGCTATGGACAGGACACCAGAAGATTTCAGGAGAGATTTCACTTGGTTAATGGACTTGATGACAAGTTATGTCCTCCAGAAGGGGAATGCCACTCTAGTCTACGCTGATGCTCCTCAAACCAACCCATCCAAACTGAAACCACCTTACCCCTTCACCAACGACTACATCAGTGCACTGAATAAAGTGACGGCTGATGTACTGAAGGCTGCAGTGCAGCAGGGGATGGCAGTTTATCCGTTCTTTGACCTCTTTTCCATGTCTGCAGGCAAAATGGACCTCAGTCTGGACGGGATTCATTTCAAACCGCCCTGGTATGAGAATGTCATGAGTCTGTTCTGGGCAACATACTGTGCAGAGTAGAACATGGCGTGTGCAGAGTAGAACACGACATGTGTCGAGTAGAACACTACACGTCAAAAATCCTGAACTTAATCCGGTGTGATAGAAGCCTGGGGTGAACTAGGAAAGAAGACTTGTATTATCAGATCATTCACAAATACCAGAGTTACTGTGAAATATGGTATCGTCATGGCATATTCTAGATCAATTTACAGTTTGAAATGAACTTAAATGTATACACCCTAGAAAAGCCTTTCTTGGACTTTGTATTTGGGTCATTTCTCAGTCCCTTAGTCCTCTGTCATAGCAACTGCCAGTAGAATACTGGAGATTGTAATGACGCAGACGTTATCTCTGCCCTGAGACATGCAGGACTGGGATGGCAGAATAACACTTGGCAATCTCATGTTTTTTTTTTCTTATATCTTATAGCTTTTTTCAAAAAGGAGAACTCCCAAGTTAAATAATAATAATTTATAAAAAAAAACTTTTGTTTTATTCTCTATGGTGAAATTCATATATTTTGTTGTTGTACAAGTATAACAGCGTTTTTTTAAATTTATATATATATTGGTAAACATTGGAAAAGTTTGCTTCAGTTACATTACATGATGGGAAATTTTGTGACCTGGTCAGTGATCAGTAAAAATTCCACATATACCATATTTTTTTAATATCATTTGGTTGTACTGTTTTATGGGGTGAAATAGAAAAAAATATAGATATGACCATGTCTTTTGTTTACTGGATATCATATTTTGAAAAAATCAATCCAAAGTGTTTTGAAAATAAAATCCATTTATTAACAAAAGAGAGGCTGATGTCTAACAATACTACTTGCCATGTAGCTTAAAAATTGGCTTATCAGACCACAATAACTGTCGAGGCCAGTTCATGCTTTGTTGCTTAGAAAGAGGCCACCAAATATTTGTCACTACAGTAGGTTGTTCTTATTTACTTATTTTCTCTGGTTGCAAGTATGTTTTAAACAAATATTCTTTCTTTTTAATATGCCAAATATCAACATCCCATGCTGCCCTCCCTTCTACCTTAGTGTACCCATGTATATTATATAATATAAGCTATAATTAGCTGCAACCTACATATTATGCTATGCATGCTTTTTAAGATGCCTTTCTGAATAAATAAATACTCACAAATTCAGGAAATGTTAAAATAAATATTCCTTATAATGACTAGTAGTTATAAATTGAAATTGCCCCAGCCCTTTTACTATTAAATATATCAAATTGAATAAATTTGACACGGAGTCTAACTGAACACTACTATGAGCTAAAAGAAATATCTTCTTTCAAAATGATACAATAATATTTTGATTAATAAGTACCTACTTGATTATGTACAAAATCCTTCAATAAAATGAAAGACAACAAATGACAAGCAACAAAAAGTGTTGTATGGATTGCAGATCTTGTTTTACATCAGTAAATACTGTTGTCATTGACACTTTAAAACCATCTCATCGTATAATAAGTCAAAAACATGCCTGAAATAAAGTTTGGTTAAACCAAGATATGGAACTGCGTTGTTTTAACCTTTTCTGTACATGGCACTATAACAACGGATACTCCTTATAAATTATATAATCAAAAATACACAAAACAACATCCAAATCCTTCCAAAGCATTTCACTACCATATTCATTAAAGCCAAACAAAAGTTTGTTGTCATTGTTGATAGTATTTGGAACAATGATACTTTAGACACCAGTTTAGCCTTCAATTTCATCCCAAAGAGAATCTCATGCAGATATATTTGAAAGCTAACATTTTCATCAGTCAACAGTTGAAATTTACAGTTGTATAAATAACATGGGTATATGTGTTAGCAACACCAAGCAAAGATAAAAGCACTGTGGTATTTGGAGTTTTGGCATACAGGTATGCACCACAGCTAAAGAAAACCCCTTGGCATGTCCAGAGTTTGAAGGGGGGTGGGGGGGGGTAGAGAGGGGAAGAGAGGTTGGCGCCTATTTACATGACAAAATACCAGATTCATTTGTCAGAGGGGGAAAACCCACATAAAATAAGGGCACTCAATGGAAACATACTGTATTTTATGAAAATATTCTTAGCAGGTGAGCAGGGCGAGAATCCTCCTCAATCATCCCCCCCCCCAAAAAAAAAAAAATAACAATAATAATAAAATTAAAAAAAAAACTGCTGCCAGGGTCCATCATGTGCAAAATAGCACAAAGCTATAAGTTTTTGTGATATTATTAGTGGGAATATCTGCTGTAAGTTTCTGCCTCCATTGATAAGTGCCAGGATGAAGAGGTGGATGACATCTAGGTAATTATAAACTACTGTCAGTTTCTGCCTCCATTGATAAGTGCCAGGATGAAGAGGAACAAGTTGATGACATCCAGGTAAAGGTTAAGAGCAGCAAAGATGTATTCTTCAGGTGATAAAGAGTATTGGTGTTTACCTCCAATCATCAGCTGTGTGTCAAATACTATGTACTGGAAAGAGATTTTTGACTTCTTTAATTGTTTTTGCAAAATAAATAAATAAAAAATTAATAATATTTTCAAATATAATCCCCAAAACATCATTCTTTTTTTAATGCATTTTAAGCATTTTGAATAAACGAAAAAATGATGCCCATACTGCGTGTATACTGCCCATACATTACAATTAAAATATACTAAATTGTCCCTCATAAAACATTAGCAAATGTGTTGATTTATGATCACATAAGTTTGTATACTATGAAATAAGAGGTTGTGTTTCCATTCAAGCTAGGTACACCTAACTCAGGCCTGTCAGGGCTGACATAGGTGGTGCCAAGTAAGGCTGGGTCAATTTGACAAGAAGCACAACTAATAAGGCAAAAAGTGTAAAGCACAATCACAAAGTGAGCTGAACACATTGTCAAGGTCACACAAAGTTTATACAGCATGTCACCCTGCTATTTGTCTGACAAAGTAAGAAGAAAGCAAAGTTCTTCATCAAATTATATTTTCACACTGTTCGTCACTGGTACAGAACGCTGACTACTACAATACACCAGTGTAAGCTATGAGAAATATTAGACATAAGAAAAATACACTGATTAAATAATAATAATAATAATAATAATAATAATAATAATAATAATAATAATAATAATAATAATAATAATGACAACAGCAAGAAGAAACTTCAGTGGCTCTGGAAACTAAATCAAACACATTACATCAATAAACATGATGGAAAATTCAGGAGCACTGAAAATAAACAGGCACAGATTCCTCCAGCCTCATAATTTACTTGTGAAGACTTACCAATATAATGAAATTGTATTGAATATTTTTTTTTTCGTTAAACAGTGCTGGATTTGAAAGCAAATCTAAATCATTGTGCACTGTCTGTACCATGATAAGTTATTTTCTCAGTAAATCCTTCTGCTGTGAACCAATGGATTGGAGGAATTTGTGAACAGTTGAAAAAAAAAAGCACAATTAATTTCACAGCAATATCTAAATGGCAAATCTAATTTACTATTAATGTCTTCCATAAGTTCCTCGGATAATGGCCAAGATAATCAAGAACAATGTCACAATATCGATATAGAGATTCAGGGCAACAAAGATGTACTCCTCTGGGGAAACCGTGTAGCGATGCTTCGCCATCAGCATCAACTGAGTGTCGAATACCATAAACTAAAAACATGGAAAAGTAATTAAAATACACATCTGTTAAAAATCCATGCAATCTACAGTGGATGCGCCAGTGAAGTATTTGAAACTAAAAGAACTGCAGCTATTTTGATTCAGGCTGTGAAACAACTTGATTTGAAATTGATACAACAATGTTCAAAATGCTGAAAATTTTGTGAATCTGTTCAAATTACAAGTAATGACTGAAACCTTAGTGTATAATAAAAGATGACATAAAAGCATGATAACATCACTGTAAAATACTTTAAACATGCAAATGAAAGAAGTCTGTCAAATGTGCAAAATACAACTGCATAACATTTTAAAAATTAGTTGTTGAAAAATTTTTTTTATTATGTTATTTCATTTTTTTGTGCTTTAATTATACTTACGAATGAGAAGATCAGGGCTCCGAGTGAAGCATAGGCTATGTAGGCATACTGAAACGTAGACAGCAGCTCACTTTGATTTAACTATAGGCTCAACAATTGTTACAAACATTATTTTATTATTAAAACATAAAATCTAAAATCCTTGGGTCAGAGTATAAAAGAACAAACATGTGCATTATACAGATTTTTAAAATAATAATAAAAACTCATTTTTAAAACTACTAATCAGTGAGTCAAAATGTAATCATCTTTTATACAATATCAAAACTAAAATGTCACTGTCTTTTATTTTTCAATGTCCAATGTTAAGATCAACTTCACTCTTACATGATTCCTGAAGATGGCGCACATGAGTCCAAACAAGATGAGCACAATCAGCAGCACAAACAGCAAACCACTACACATGGTAAAGTCAATCTGAAATGAAGAAAGCAGTATTTACTAACATAGACTACTCATGCTAAAAATGGGTCTGTCAAACTATGCACAGGTTTCCGCAAATCAAGGCTCATGTTCTATGTGCTGTCCTTCAAAAATTCTTTACTAGATTTCCCACCTGTATTAACAAAATTAACAATATTGAGAAGCTACAAACACGTCTCAAGAGCGGATATTTTATGATACATATCTTAGTTAGAGTAGCGAATATTCGAAAATTATGTACATTGCCTCTTTATTAGTAATAAGCAAATATCTTACAACATTTAAGTATAAATACATTCAGATGATTAAAATTGCAAAAAACTGAGAGAGAGAGAGAGAAACTTACTTTTGTTTGAAAGGCAAATATCGTCAGAGCCAATGCCACTGCCTGTAACAAGAAATCGCCATGACAACAGTAAAAAAACATGACTATAAAATATGGCATTAAACTGAGCATTCACCTGAAACATTTAAATTGACTTCTTCTCCATGTCAATCCTATAATGTGAACATAGCCTTCACAGACTGATTCCTGAGACACTTGGTCCAAAAGAGAATCAAACTACTGTGTGTGAATGGACTTATTAAGTACAATAGTAACTGAGGGGTACTTACTGCTGTAATTCCTACTGCCATTAACACATGCTCTGCCTTGTATGTGCTGAAATGATACAACATTATATGAAATTCATTGTACAAAACAATCATTTAATGTTTGCCTCAAAGTAGGCCTTGATCGCAGCTAAAAGAGAGAGTCGAGCCGAAGCCCAAGGCAGTCAGATCTCGAAACTCAGGCTGGACTCTCATGCACACACACACACACAAATACATGCACATGCACACACACTATTCAGAAGCAGTACATTTTTTCTAATTCTTTTTGAACCAATAGAAGATTACTAAATATTTATTGCTTGCATCAATGAGAAACAAATAATTACATCTTATCCTCCTACTGTACCAGTAACAGCAGTTTAAAACCTACTTTTGTAAACGATATCTTTACCTTGCCACCGTTCCTAGGAAATATGACTCACACAGTGTCTGAAACAAAGACAAACATATAAAAAATCAAAATTTGCTACAAGGAGGAAAAGATATTAATCACTGCATGAATAGCATTGCATACTCTGATTTTTTAAAAGAAAATACAAAGTGAAAAAATCCTTAGTCAACATGCGATCTTATTACCAAATATTAAAAACTCAATGAAAGTAATGATGCATTTCTGCTTCAAAAATCACAACTGGTTTATAAGTCAGAGATGACTTATTTGGAGTTTTTACTTACAAAGAGTCCCAGAAAGATCATATTCATGGGGAAGGTTCTCCTGACCTCAGTACAGCATGCCAGAGCAATCAGGGTGACAAATGTAATGGCTCTGAAAATGAAGTTATTTCTCTTGTCTTAAAAAACACCATGAATTTCAAATAAGTAAATTACAGCCCATTTATTGTAAGAAGAAGGGAAGAAATTAGAAAACAATCCAAAACAATTTTAATACTTCAGTATACAAGTTTTGCTTGCAGTCTTATAGCTTAGTTAGTCTTGATATGAACAGGACCAGAGAGAATACTTACATTGCTATGGTCTAAGTTAGTCTTGATTTGAACAGGACAAGAGAGAATACTTACATTGCTATGGTCTAAGTTAGTCTTGATATGAACAGGACCAGAGAGAATACTTACATTGCTAAATAGAACATCCAGGGATTGGCCTGGGCATAATGTGCTATGGGTTCTCTGAAAGATCAGCATCAATATCATCATCATTATCAACTTTCATCATCATCATCTTCACAAGTTGACAAAAACAATCTATATTACACAGACTTACACAGCTGCAGAAAGCAATGTGTTGTGTAGACAACAATTGTGCTCACATTAAATTTTGGAAATTCTACTTTCTTAACTACTGTTTTCATGAAATAAAATTATACATAATTTTAAAAAAATCAACTGAAACATCCCAGGGATATCGGTATGCTAAGAATTCAGTCTCTTGTCTCTGACAACTTACACATAGAGGAACAGTGCTATGAAGATCATAGTAACAGCCAACTGACACATCAGGATTCCATAGACTTTTCTTATGAAACCTGAAAAATCCAGCATATCAAAGAAATGTTAAATAATTTATCAGGATTTTTAGACATCTATGATGTTTCTTTTAAGAGAACTAAAGAAAATAGATACAGCAGTAATTAAACAAAGTCCAAGCACCTCTCTTATTTCATAATTTAATTTTTATTATTTATTTTTCTTATTTTTCAAAACCATTACCAAAACTTTGTTTTAAGAAATAGTATCCATCAATTTTGTCCAAACACAAAAACATTTACTGACCATTCTGGGTGAAGAGTTAAGTCAAGTGTGGATGAAGAGATGAACACTTTGTTTACCATTACGAATGCTCTGTTCTCCAAACTTATCCATACCAATGCTCTGTTCTCCAAACTTACCCATACGAATGCTCTGTTCCCCAAACTTACCAACACGAATGCTCTGTTCCCCAAACTTACCAACACGAATGCTCTGTTCCCCAAACTTACCCATACGAATGCTCTGTTCCCCAAACTTACTCATACAAATGCTCTGTTCCCCAAACTTACCCATACAAATGCTCTGTTCCCCAAACTTACCAATAAAAATGCTCTGTTCCCCAAACTTACCCATACGAATGCTCTGTTCCCCAAACTTACCCATACGAATGCTCTGTTCCCCAAACTTACCCATACGAATGCTCTGTTCTCCAAACTCAAAGCCAGCTGTGTTGAAATCATCGTCAACATTCTCGTATCCCATCGACATCTTGTTATGTGGTGTGTTTTCTATCTAATACCTGGAAAGAAATTTCAAGGGATCATAACTCTTCGTATGAGATCTATATTTCACAATAAAAACATTGTGAACAACTCATGGAAATATAATATCTGCTGTACCACAAAAACGGCAGACGCAGTTATAGCTATTATTCTGATATCTGAGCTTGTCTTCAGACCACATGACCCTCATTGATGGCTATACTCTGTTATAATCTCTTAAGAGAGTGTAACAAAAAACAAACTTTTTAGAAAAAAAAAAAAAAGCAGGGACTAACTTTGAATGTAAAAATGGATTCATTAACCATTGGTAAGTATAAAAAATTGTTGTTTACTCCAAGAAAATTAATTTTTTGGCCAAAATGAAGAGTTATTATCCCTTTTATGTAAGTGCTAAAAGCTATGATACAGATTGAGTTATGATTTTGATGTCATATGTCAGATTACAACGGTTTAATATAAGCAACTGTAGCATATTTTTGTGTTGATAAGCTTGACAAAATTCCTCTTTAAAAATAAGTGGTCTGTTGAACTATTTCAATTTTCTTTCCACATACTGATACTTTTGAAATGATTTGTTTCTCAATCACAGGTAAAAGATTCCATAATTCACAATTTTCTACATTCTAGCTATAATAATCAGTACATGAAGTGTCTAATTATATAATGGCTCCATGACAGCAGTGAAGGTCCCAGTAGCTCTGTGAAGCTACTGAGTACACCTCTCAGGTGCTGTGAACATGTCAAGCTGTCCCCAGAGATAAGACACATAATAAAGACCAGTGTCAACATCTCTCTATCCACTGATATACATGTACGTAGTGAAGATCTATCAGTCCCACAGATAAAACAAGCAAAGATATCTTCCTTTTACAACTCACATTGTCTTTATATCAAAAATAATACCACTTATATTTTAGGTTATCAGCTTACATTGGAAACCCAACTTGGTAATGAATTTATTATCCTTGATTACCTAAGTAGGTATGAATAAGTAAAACTAAGGAACACATACCCCCCCCCCCCCAATCTTCAGCTTTTCAAAAATACAACAATAACAAGATGAATAGAGTAAGTTCAGGCATTTGTTTCAATTGTTGCTTCCTTCCCCTCTCTCTCCATCCTCCTACCTGTACAGTCCCTGCCCTTGACCAACCAATGAATATATCAATTCCTAATGTAAAACAAGACATTAAAATTTAATACTTTACAAATGACTGTCTATTGTCATGTTTCCAGCCCAGTTCAGTTGGCATCATCCAAGCCATATCAGAGGACTGCCTCATCACCATTGACTCACCTCAGGAACTCCACAATATACAATACTAGTAGTGACTGTGGTTGAGACACAAGTGGGATTAGACTGACTGCCTATGGTGACCTAATCTGAAAGCAGATATTCCACCAAGATGGCTGCCACCAAGATCTGTCAACCCAGTCTAACTGGAAACACAGCATGAGTGTAGTGTCATCCTACGACTGCAGCTCACCTGTCCCTGGATCAATTCTCCAATATATTCAGCATGAGTGTCAGGTATATACATGGCTCTGTTTGCTACTTGACAAACAATACAACATATTGATTGAACTAACACTAAGCAAAATTGATTTGGCCTTGTGATGTTAGACCTTGTTTTTCATTATCCATTTTGCTGTTTTTAAAATCAAATGCAACACAGTGTATCACAGTGAACAAAAACTAGAAGTGTCCAGTATAGTGACTGGCATATGAAAATATAATAAAGTACTTTAACCTTCACTTTTTTCTATACGTATACACACTGAACACAGCCAGTATTACATGTCTTACCCTATTCTATGTAAAACAAAAAATATACCAGTTCCTCAGATGCTAATATCCACATAAAAGGGCTAATTTTGGCATAATTTGTCTTTTTGCCAAAAGCTGCGATGTATTTCAAATTAAAAATTAGAGGTAACATGGTGACAAACAGTTTTTCAAGAACACTTTCCACTCTCTTAAAGTAAAGGTGACCACCTCAAACACCTATCATGTCAGTCAATCTCATGCTGGTTTAAACCTACTGCTTCAAGATGTCTTCTTCTGGACATCAGAATATTCATCACCAGGGTTTTTAGAATATCACATAGCTGTATCTGGACTTAGTTGACACGGGTTATGATTTAAGTCACTCTTCGCACTATACCTTAAAGTATGTGTATGTGTGTAGGGGTGGCAAGCTTCATTTTAAAATATATAATTTCTGTATAATACTTACTTATATATATATTTTTAATTAAATAAATAGAGAAAATATAATATATAAATGTAAATATTTAGATATGACTTGAACACTTAGTTGATGACAATTTTAACTCACCGAATGAAAAATAAATAAAAACAAACAAACAAACAAAAAAATTAAAAAAAACAACAACATTTTTTATGCATCAGCCTGTGACAAGTTATGTCATGTAGAATTCCCTTTGGATTCTAATTAAGGTAATAGTATGTTTCTTACCTTTAAAGCTCTTTAGCTTGAACCAAATTGTCACTTTCTTAATTTCTTGGATAGCACGTCTTTTCATGTAGAAGTCCGGCTAAAAACTATCTGTCAGTCAGTCTCGCTATCAGTCCAGTCATGTGATCTGCCTTTTCAGATCGAGACATAAACATACCCGTTGGCACTACAGTCATATGTCCAACTAAACTGTGATAAATTAGATGGCATACATTTCTTAATATCATTAGCACAGTAAGACAAGAACTGAAGTAAGATAAGAACCGTTTCAGCGATATATCATACTCACTTATAATCTAATAACGTGTTATTTACAGCACAGATCCTCTGCTTCTGTCAGCAGCTTACTGCACGTCAGTTTCTGTTTTAGTTTCACAGGAAGTAATCAACTGCACATGCGCAGTGTGTGTCCGCTCGTCACAACAGCCTGGCGCAACTAACACAATACATCTTAGAGATAGTCCACAGCTCCTAGAGAAATAGTGCGGTTCGTTCAGCGCACTGCTGTGACGCTCTTATATTAATGAAGATAGCATTTTTTCAGCTTCAGTGGTATGATAATAACCTTCTCAAGTTCTCATAAGATTCATATAAATGATATTAATAGGGGCAAATCTTTGGTGCTAAATGTCAAGTTTTGTAATTGAGCTTTTTACTACTAGGGTACGCCATGTTGAAACCCCTTTCCTTTCCTTTCCTTTCCTTTCATAAGAACTTGAAAACACTGAAATCAAACGTGGGGATCTGTTATGTGACTGATAAAATGGACTAGAAACAACACTTGTACAGATTTTTGAAGTGAAGCTCACATGAGATATCCAAGGGAAATGCATCTCAAGTGCCAGCAAAATTCCTTCCATGGTGCAAAACCCAGACCAGTTATTGATACAAACTTTTAGGGAGGTGGAGGTGTAGTCACTTAGCAACATAATTTCATTTTTTTTATTCATGCTCAAGTTGTAAAATTAAAGGGAAGAAACAACCCCTCCCTTCAATGAAATGAACAACAAAACAAGCTTTTCCTTATATACATTTACTCATCTCAATATTTGTGATTTGCCTTATTTTTTGTACTTTTCAATGAATAAAAAGTCCAGTTGGTCACGTGTTTTACACAATGTATGTTTGAATTAGGCAACATTTCTGTATATTTCTTGAACTGTCCCACAGCAAGTGTCTACTTAATCTTCTTCTTTGGCCTGATGTTGGAGGTGTGGCCACATTTCTTCTTGCGGCAGTTGGTGGCCCTGGGGTGCAGGCGAGCATAGCACCTGGAATTGACAGTTTACACACAGTTACAAACAGTTTACACATAGAACTACATATTAACTGCTTTGAAATTTGAACTACGTTTAAGTCTAGCTCTATAATAAGGAGCCATGTGGTGAAAACAAAATCAACAAATCATGAAAATATTTTAAGATATCCATTTAAAACAGATAAATTAGTTAATTAAAAGTCCTTAGAGGAAGCTTGCAAGAATATTCACCCCTCTCTTAAAAATTTAAATTTATTTCATTAATATGATTTTATCTCAAGTTCTGAAATCTATTGAGTCAAGAGCCCTGGTGTCCTTACTTTCTACAGATCATCTTGTCACAGTTGTATTTCTGTGCCAGAATTCTCAGACTGGGTTCAATTACACCTCCTCTCAGACGCAGCACTAAATGCAGGGTGCTCTCTGGAATTGTAAACCATGTTATCTATACTACTGATGCCCTTGCTATTTACTTGTTAATAGAACAGTAGTTGAGAGACAAGTGGGGAGAAACTAGTAGACTTGAAAACAAACTGAAATGGTGGACTTCACTCTCTCGGGCAAGCAAAAACTTATGTTGTTAAATAATTTCAACTTCTTGATTGTTCAGCCACAGAATCATGACTGGCATTCTATGACGGACACTAACAAATAATGGGCGCAGAGCCCTGTCCTATATAGTGTACTATATTACTCTTCACATTAACTACTGAACTACAGATAAATTAAAACAGTAGACGTGTTACCTTTCTGGATGTTGTAATCAGACAGAGTGCGTCCATCTTCCAGCTGTTTGCCAGCAAAAATCAGACGCTGCTGATCAGGGGGAATGCCTGCAACATGAATAATGCTTTTTTAGTAACTTTTCATTAAGTTACCTTTTGTGCTATAAGAATCTAACCTATAAATATAAAATTTAGCAAATATATGATAATATGGAGAATCAAAGCAGGTTTTTCCCTTAACTTTCTGCGTAGGGATTTTTTTTACTTAGTTGTGTAATGTAAATGTCAAGGGTAAAATCAAATGAAAAGCTACTTAAGTTTTTTTTCATAATTTGGAAACTTAAATATGGCAGACACTTTTAGAAATTTGACAACCTAAATATCTGAAGAAAACTTCAATCCTGAGAAACCAGTGTCATGACGAAAAGCAATAACGATACTATACATCTTGATTTTCTTTATCCCAAATGTACCCATAGAATAAAGCACAGGTGTTGAGATATCATTTTGATGCACCCTTGTTAAGCTCAGCACGTGCTTCATTCTATATCTAGTTACTCCGTGTACATATCAATTTGAGTCTGTATGTAAAAAAGAAAATTCCCTGAGAAAAACTAAAGAAGAACAGTACAGGTATGACAGGAATGGCAAATCATTGGACTTATTCATGCTAAAGAAATGTCTTTCAAACTCTGTGCTTTCTTACCTTCCTTGTCCTGGATCTTGGCCTTGACATTTTCAATAGTATCCGAGGGTTCAACCTCGAGGGTGATAGTCTTGCCCGTTAGGGTCTTCACAAAGATCTGCATGGTGCTGTCTTTGCTGAAATGATAATGTTACTTACTGGGATAGGTAACAGAGACACAGAAAATGTTTTGTCACACGTAGTGCAAGAAATAACGACTGCATCTTAATGGAATGATCTGTGGCCTTCGCTAGACATTACCAGGAGATCCACGAGTGCATATTTTCATTTAAAAACATCTCACAAAAGAGAGGAATTTGTGAAATACCTACAGAGTCCAATGGATAAGGGACATGCGTCAGGAATATCAATTTCTTTATTAGTTTAATGACCTCTGTGTACATCTCTAAGCCAATTTTCTAATGCCACCTAAAGAATCGTTTGTCTCTGAACATTATTGTCCAAGAAATATTCTTAGATTGTAAGAATCTACTAAATTTGCTTCAACGATAAATATTTCGTGGNATGTACGTAGTGAAGATCTATCAGTCCCACAGATAAAACAAGCAAAGATATCTTCCTTTTACAACTCACATTGTCTTTATATCAAAAATAATACCACTTATATTTTAGGTTATCAGCTTACATTGGAAACCCAACTTGGTAATGAATTTATTATCCTTGATTACCTAAGTAGGTATGAATAAGTAAAACTAAGGAACACATACCCCCCCCCCCCCAATCTTCAGCTTTTCAAAAATACAACAATAACAAGATGAATAGAGTAAGTTCAGGCATTTGTTTCAATTGTTGCTTCCTTTCCCTCTCTCTCCATCCTCCTACCTGTACAGTCCCTGCCCTTGACCAACCAATGAATATATCAATTCCTAAAGTAAAACAAGACATTAAAATTTAATACTTTACAAATGACTGTCTATTGTCATGTTTCCAGCCCAGTTCAGTTGGCATCATCCAAGCCATATCAGAGGACTGCCTCATCACCATTGACTCACCTCAGGAACTCCACAATATACAATACTAGTAGTGACTGTGGTTGAGACACAAGTGGGATTAGACTGACTGCCTATGGTGACCTAATCTGAAAGCAGATATTCCACCAAGATGGCTGCCACCAAGATCTGTCAACCCAGTCTAACTGGAAACACAGCATGAGTGTAGTGTCATCCTACGACTGCAGCTCACCTGTCCCTGGATCAATTCTCCAATATATTCAGCATGAGTGGCAGGTATATACACGGCTCTGTTTGCTACTTGACAAACAATACAACATATTGATTGAACTAACACTAAGCAAAATTGATTTGGCCTTGTGATGTTAGACCTTGTTTTTCATTGTCCATTTTGCTGTTTTTAAAATCAAATGCAACACAGTGTATCACAGTGAACAAAAACTAGAAGTGTCCAGTATAGTGACTGGCATATGAAAATATAATAAAGTACTTTAACCTTCACTTTTTTCTATACGTATACACACTGAACACAGCCAGTATTACACGTGTTACCCTATTCTATGTAAAACAAAAAATATACCAGTTCCTCAGATGCTAATATCCACATAAAAGGGCTAATTTTGGCATAATTTGTCTTTTTGCCAAAAGCTGCGATGTATTTCAAATTAAAAATTAGAGGTAACATGGTGACAAACAGTTTTTCAAGAACACTTTCCACTCTCTTAAAGTAAAGGTGACCACCTCAAAGACCTATCACGTCAGTCAATCTCATGCTGGTTTAAACCTACTGCTTCAAGATGTCTTCTTCTGGACATCAGAATATTCATCACCAGGGTTTTTAGAATATCACATAGCTGTATCTGGACTTAGTTGACACGGGTTATGATTTAAGTCACTCTTTGCACTATACCTTAAAGTATGTGTATGTGTGTAGGGGTGGCAAGCTTCATTTTAAAATATATAATTTCTGTATAATACTTACTTATATATATATTTTTAATTAAATAAATAGAGAAAATATAATATATAAATGTAAATATTTAGATATGACTTGAACACTTAGTTGATGACAATTTTAACTCACCGAATGAAAAATAAATAAATAAAAACAAACAAACAAACAAAAAATTTTAAAAAAACAACAACATTTTTTATGCATCAGCCTGTGACAAGCTATGTCATATGTCCAACTAAACTGTGATAAATTAGATGGAGCATACATTTCTTAATATCATTAGCACAGTAAGACAAGAACTGAAGTAAGATAAGAACCGTTTCAGCGATATATCATACTCACTTATAATCTAATAACGTGTTATTTACAGCACAGATCCTCTGCTTCTGTCAGCAGCTTACTGCACGTCAGTTTCTGTTTTAGTTTCACAGGAAGTAATCAACTGCACATGCGCAGTGTGTGTCCGCTCGTCACAACAGCCTGGCGCAACTAACACAATACATCTTAGAGATAGTCCACAGCTCCTAGAGAAATAGATAGTGCGGTTCGTTCAGCGCACTGCTGTGAAAGCTCTTATATTGAAGAAGATAGCATTTTTTTCAGCTTCAGTGGTATGATAATAACCTTCTCAAGTTCTCATAAGATTCATACAAATGATATTAATAGGGGCAAATCTTTGGTGCTAAATGTCAAATTTTGTAATTGAGCTTTTTACTATTAGGGTACGCCATGTTGAAACCGCTTTCCTTTCATAAGAACTTGAAAACACTGAAATCAAACGTGGGGATCTGTTATGTGACTGATAAAATGGACTAGAAACAACACTTGTACAGATTTTTGAAGTGAAGCTCACATTAGATATCAAAGGGAAATGCATCTCAAGTGCCAGCAAAATTCCTTCCATGGTGCAAAACCCAGACCAGTTAGATACAAACTTTTAGGGAGGTGGAGGTGTAGTCACTTAGCAACATAATTTCATTTTTTTTATTCATGCTCAAGATGTAAAATTAAAGGGAAGAAACAACCCCTCCCTTCAATGAAATGAACAACAAAACAAGCTTTTCCTTATATACATTTACTCATCTCAATATTTGTGATTTGCCTTATTTTTTGTACTTTTCAATGAATAAAAAGTCCAGTTGGTCACGTGTTTTACACAATGTATGTTAGAATTAGGCAACATTTCTGTATATTTCTTGAACTGTCCCACAGCAAGTGTCTACTTAATCTTCTTCTTTGGCCTGATGTTGGAGGTGTGGCCACATTTCTTCTTGCGGCAGTTGGTGGCCCTGGGGTGTAGGCGAGCATAGCACCTGGAATTGACAGTTTACACACATAGTTACAAACAGTTTACACATAGAACTACATATTAACTGCTTTGAAATTTGAACTACGCTTAAGTCTAGCTCTCTATAATAAGGAGCCATGTGGTGAAAACAAAATCAACAAATCATGAAAATATCTTAAGATATCCATTTAAAACAGATAAATTAGTTAATTAAAAGTCCTTAGAGGAAGCTTGCAAGAATATTCACCCCTCTCTTAAAAATTTAAATTTATTTCATTAATATGATTTTATCTCAAGTTCTGAAATCTACTGAGTCAAGAGCCCTGGTGTCCTTACTTTCTACAGATCATCTTGTCACAGTTGTATTTCTGTGCCAGAATTCTCAGACTGGGTTCAATTACACCTCCTCTCAGACGCAGCACTAAATGCAGGGTGCTCTCTGGAATTGTAAACCATGTTATCTATACTACTGATGCCCTTGCTATTTACTTCTTAATAGAACAGTAGTTGAGAGACAAGTGGGGAGAAACTAGTATAGACTTGAAAACAAACTGAAATGGTGGACTTCACTCTCTCGGGCAAGCAAAAACTTATGTTGTTAAATAATTTCAACTTCTTGATTGTCCAGCCACAGAATCATGACTGGCATTCTATGACGGACACTAACAAATAATGGGCGCAGAGCCCTGTCCTATATAGTGTACTATATTACTCTTCACATTAACTACTGAACTACAGATAAATTAAAACAGTAGACGTGTTACCTTTCTGGATGTTGTAATCAGACAGAGTGCGTCCATCTTCCAGCTGTTTGCCAGCAAAAATCAGACGCTGCTGATCAGGGGGAATGCCTGCAACACGAATAATGCTTTTTAGTAACTTTTCATTAAGTTACCTTTTGTGCTATAAGAATCTAACCTATAAATATAAAATTTAGCAAATATATGATAATATGGAGAATCAAAGCAGGTTTTTCCCTTAACTTTCTGTGTAGGGATTTTTTTTACTTAGTTGTGTAATGTAAATGTCAAGGGTAAAATCAAATGAAAAGCTATTTAAGTTTTTTTTTTTTTCATAATTTGGAAACTTAAATATGGCAGACACTTTTAAAAATTGGACAACCTAAATATCTGAAGAAAACTTCAATCCTGAGAAACCAGTGTCATGACGAAAAGCAATAACGATACTATACATCTTGATTTTCTTTATCCCAAATGTACCCATAGAATAAAGCACAGGTGTTGAGATATCATTTTGATGCACCCTTGTTAAGCTCAGCACATGTGCTTCATTCTATATCTAGTTACTCCGTGTACATATCAATTTGAGTCTGTATGTAAAAAAGAAAATTCCCTGAGAAAAACTAAAGAAGAACAGTACAGGTATGACAGGAATGGCAAATCATTGGACTTATTCATGCTAAAGAAAGGTCTTTCAAACCCTGTGCTTTCTTACCTTCTTTGTCCTGGATCTTGGCCTTGACATTTTCAATAGTATCCGAGGGTTCAACCTCGAGGGTGATAGTCTTGCCCGTTAGGGTCTTCACAAAGATCTGCATGGTGCTGTCTTTGCTGAAATGATAATGTTACTTACTGGGATAGGTAACAGAGACACAGAAAATGTTTTGTCACACGTAGTGCAAGAAATAACGACTGCATCTTAATGGAATGATCTGTGGCCTTCGCTAGACATTACCAGGAGATCCACGAGTGCATATTTTCATTTAAAAACATCTCACAAAAGAGAGGAATTTGTGAAATACCTACAGAGTCCAATGGATAAGGGACATGCATCAGGAATATCAATTTCTTTATTAGTTTAATGACCTCTGTGTACATCTCTAAGCCAATTTTCTAATGCCACCTAAAGAATCGTTTGTCTCTGAACATTATTGTCCAAGAAATATTCTTAGATTGTAAGAATCTACTAAATTTGCTTCAACGATAAATATTTCGTAGAGGCTGCCATCTTACCTGATCAAAAAGGCAAGTTAGGGGTTCTCACTTCCTGGCCACGGCTTAGTTTCAATATCAGTGCGATAGATGTCAGCAGCAGAGAAAACTGACCTACTTTCATCGGGCACCTGTCAAGAAGGTCCCACCTGATTGGCGCTGAGATTTGAAAACTTGAATGCTATTGGTCTATTTCAACTTTGCTTTTACGCGTGCATTCTTGCGGTGTAGAGTGTTACAACTTCAAAAGCATGGTTGTTGTTAGTGTAAACATCTCGTCGTGGGATTTAATATTTTGCGGTGGATTCTACAAGTTCTAAACAACTTTGGAGAAATACCCCATGTCTTACAAAGTAGCCGTGCAATGGTTGGCTTTAAGTTGGTATGGGTTGTCTACTTAGCCCAAGTTTTGGCGACTTGTCAAGTTTGTTTTGGTGAGTATTTCACTGTGTTGTTTCATACAATGCCGATCTTTATGGCCCAATTGATCGCAATCACTTTGCTGTGTTTAATTGACCGGCCGGTATTTCGGCGGCTCACAATACCTTTTGTTCCATAATGTCAATTTTCATCAATTTCAGCCAGGGATTAAAACGGCTTCGGGTTACTCGTTTTGTTGTTGTTACTAGATCTAACTTTAAGCAGTGTGACAGCGCAAAGAACTTTACCTAAGTTTTTATTTGTAAACGGTGTTGCGGTCAAGTTGATAAGCTGACAAAGTTCTGCATTTCTAAAAATATATATTCTGACACCTGGTAGTGGAAACACAATGAACTGTTTCCAGTATTGCTTTTTGATTTTAATTAAAAACTGTGCTGTTTTAATTAAGACGGTCATTCATTCATTAATGACAACAATAATCATTATCAGCTCAGTAAGATCAAGTGATCTGACAGTTTCATAGCCTGTTACAGAAGTCCCCAGCAAAGCCAGTGTCAGCTTATTACTTACTCCATTAAATTGGTGATATTTAAACTGCATCGCTGAAGCAAGGCCAAGACCGGAAATTTTTTGTGTTTACCCACTTTCACTTCTCTTGTTGAAACTTTTTGTTGGTTAGGTAATATAAATCATTGTTGGCATACATATTTACATACTCAAAATACTGTAAAATAAAACAAATGAGACTGCCATAGTTATTATTATTAAAAAAAGAAAAAAAACAGCTGGGGTTTTTATTGTCTAGGAAATACTTTGTACAAATGTTTGTGTACACTATGGATTTAAAGAGGTAATGTTACCTACACCCTCTGCTGATACTGATACTGAAAGTGTTGCAGACCATATTTGAGGATATAAACAGACTGTCTGTCTTCAGCAGCCACTTGCTATACACTTCAGTGAAGAGGTTAGTGTACTTGTAGCTTGGTAATCATAGATAACCCTGACACTGGCTTCCTCAGGTGGGAGCTGATGAGATGAATTACTGGCAGGAAGTCGGGATGTCAGAAAGGATTAAAACTATAGAGAGCTTTATATATCATTCAATGCTAGATGCATAGGTGTTTATTAAATAAAATATGTGACAGATGTTTACTGATGTTATATCATGATTATTGCAGTATTTAAAGGCAAGCATGATTACTTTATGAATAATATACAGTCATTGCTGTTTCTGTCAATATATTCAGGTAGATTAAGGTGGCAGTTTTCTTCTAAGTAGTATATGTTGGATCAAGGCATAAGAGAATATTTTGATGATTTTTTCCACTGCTGGAAAATAATACATAATTATATATTATTATTATTATTTTCAATTTGGTTTTTAATGATGTGATTTTAGTTGTCATTAAATAAAAGCTAGTCCTGTTCCTATAAAGAAGACAATGAAGGAAAAACATCCATATTTATTTGTTATTCCAAGTTATTAATGTGTCTGGTTGTCGCAGGTAAAGTAATTACCATCCACACAGACATTAATTTCATTGTAAAGGTGCTGAGAACTAAGTCTCCTGTACTAATTAAACCACTTGAACACTTAGCAGGCTATTACCTGTGCTATTGCTACCTTGTTTTAAGCCTAAGTGTAAACTGACCATTAGTTAACTAGTGTCCAGCTGAAGAGGTCATTCCCGGGGACTGGCCAGTGCAGTGTCTGTAGTTCTGTTCATATCCTGAACCAACTTAAAGTTGAAGTGAAGTCATCAAGTGACATCACAAACAGTGGTGTCCCCAGGGTTTGCAATACAGCTAGTCCAAAATGTGAACATGTAAGGAGTCCAACCCAAGCAAAATCCCAGCCAACCAACCCAAAATGTATAAGCCATCTACTGGCTGTCTTTGGAAATACAAGCAGTTTTTTTAGGCTAATGGCCATCCAAATGACAGCTAGACGGTTCTCTAGGGAAAGCTTTGATCAAAAAATCTTCCAGACTGCTTTACTGAAGTATATGTATCTAGCACTAGGTGTAAATGTTACCATGTTAGTATAATATCTGGTTAGTGGTCAGTTATGGAGTTTAGTCAGTTATCAGTCTAGGGTAGACCCTAGCTTTAACAGGCCCAGGGATTTAATACTCAGTTAAGGAAGCTTACCCCTTTCCTTTTCCCTTCCCTTCCCAAATTTTACAAGAACTAAATGCCCTGCAGTTGTGTTGTCATTTGTGATAATCGGACTGGGGGGAAGTCGTACACAGAGATTAAATTATTGTAACTTGACAATCAGATTTGTGTTAATCCCGCCCTGTAGAACACGGTGGCAGTCTGGTATCAAATCTATAGTAATATCATTGTGGTTACGGCTCCAATCTATAGTAATTGTATTGATATTTCATTGGAGAAGTTAGTACTGGATGGCAGCAGGATCCTCAGGTCATGCTCAGCCATATCCATGTGTAGGAAGAATTCTTTTTAATCTCCATGCCAGGAAATGGTATTTTCAATACCCTTTGATAACAATCCATCATAATATTGTTGTTATTTGGTAAAAGTGCCCTGACTCTGTATACTGCAAGGCTTGGATTGACTAGTCGGCACTTTGACTTAGACCAAAGGGCAGAAAACATCAACTCAGCAAATAATATTAGAATATTGGTACATAAAGATCAATTGAATTGTACTTCTATGTTAGGGATGGCACAATTCTATTATATATGCCATAAAGAGATGATGGAGGCCTCCTTGATCTTCTCCTGCCTCATGACAAACAATTGTGACTTGCCAAGTATCTTTGATGTCACTATAGTTCACCACAGCCTTGAAACTAGCTGCTGTGCATACATTGTATTTTCACCTGTTCTGTCAATGATTGACTTTGATTTAGGAAATTGGGTACACATTTGATTGCTTTTGCCCAATTGATAATTGGAATTGATTTGACAAACAGTAAAAAAGTGGGAAAACACTCTCAACCTAGATTTAACCACATGGACCTGGAGTTGCTGAGCTGAGAGAGCCAGCGACTTGCATGACTGCCATAATGCTCCCTGTTCTCTCAACATAAATATCTTTTATGATGACTTTTAGTATTCCAAGGAAGTTTATTATCTTCCTGTGACTAGCAGTTCTAGGCGAGTAGTATCAGAGATAAAAGAGCTTTACATCTTAGAACATCGATTCTGAGAAATCTCTGGTGACTAGGGTTTATAATGGTACAGCTGTGGTCGGAAAATTAGAAATATAAAATATATATAGTTGTGTTAGTGGACCCCTCTCTATACAGTAACCCTGAGTGTGAAGCTCAGTTTACTGGCAGCTGAGGAGAATCACCTCAGTAATCTGAACCTCAAGGGGATTGAAGTCTTCTCTTATTTAAACAAAATAGTTGTAATTGATTGATCTGTGATTGTCATTCCAAATGTAAAGGAGTAATTATTTAATGACATTCTTTAATTTTTGATAAACCGCCAGTCTTGATTGAATTAGATCTGAGTATATAGCAAAGGCAAACTTTTACTTAAAATTACGTCCATCAGAATCAAGTTATCTTATCAAGAAAATTTAACCACAGTAACTTTTGAATAAAAAATAATGCATTATTGAAAAGTAAAATAAGCAAATTAAAATAGATCAACAAACAAACATCTCAGCTTTCCAGTCGGAAATCCAGTTTTAAATAACAAGGACAGCAGTTATTTTTGTCCTTCCCATCTGAGGACAATTTGATTACTGAGGAAATGAGAACTAATTGAGCTCAGTTTGAAGATCCTACTGAATACGAACTGTGTGGCTTGAATGTAAAACACACCAAGTGATTCAGTATAGATAGCAATGACTCTGGATTCTGTTTGTGATCAGAATTATGTCTGCAGAGGGCAATGATACCACTGGCTGGTCTGTATGTGAGACATCTAACTCAAACTTGAAAACTTCTGCTTTTATTAGAATTTTTTTCTGTTACTTAAAATATGTCTGTTGTAGAATTAAAGAAAGTAATTATTCTTGTTTTACAACAAACACACATGCAATAGATATGCACACACACAATACATACACACACACACACACACACACACACACACTTGCATGCACACACACAGATACACACGCATGTGCACACTCAGTAATATCTGCACTAACGCAAACAAATCCTGCCCTAGCTTTACTAAAACACCCCTCTCTTCAGGCTCAGTGGAATCTTTGTCTGTGTTAGGTCATTGTCTTTTTTAAAGAAGCCTCTGTTAACTGCAGCTCCTCTGTTTTCTGGGAGCCTTGATTTCTGGGAATAAAGTGGCAATACTTGGCTGTGAAGTGATGAGAAGTGACACTTAGTTACAGATGATATTTAGCTAATTACATGGCTCATTACCCTAATTTTACAACCTGACAGATGATTGGACGGATCTGATAGCACATCCTACTAGGATCACTTAATTGCTGGAGACTTGAAAGGCAACCAGAGTTTTAGATTTGTTCTCTGAAATATTAGGATATGCTAGCTATTTATTATGATTGAATATGACACAAACAAAAGTTGGATAATACACTGTTGAATTAAAAAAAGTAATTCATGCCAGTTTAATTCCTTTTGTGATGATTACAAGAGGAATGAAAAGACAATTAAGAAAGCCACTTAAAACTGCATCAGAAATCAAGTTAAATTATTTTAATAGAATATATGTAAGTATAAGACCAGTTAAAAATGCAGAAGGAATACATCAGTTTTATGATATAAACCAGCTGTTTTAATATGTGGTGCGACTCAGGGTGACAGTGAGTATTTGCTAGGTAGAGAAGAGTTATCTAGTATTATGAGACTCAGGGTGACAGTGAGTATTTGCTAGGTAGAGAAGAGTTATCTAGTATTATGAGACTCAGGGTGACAGTGAGTATTTGCTGGGTAGAGAAGAGTTATCTAGTATTATGAGATGCAGGGTGACAGTGAGTATTTGCTGGGTAGAGAAGAGTTACCTAGTATTATGAGACTCAGGGTGACAATGAGTATTTGATGGGAAGAGAAGAGTTATCTAGTATTATGAGACTCGGGGTGATAGTG